TCCTGTCTTAAAAAAATATATTTATTGTTGGGGAGCACACATGTATGAAGGTCAGAGCATGACTTCCAGGACTCAGTACTCTAATTTCATAGTGGCTTCTGGGGATAAAACTTAGGTCCCCTAGCTCCCACACTGACAGGTTAAGCTATCCACAGACCATCACCTCAGGCCCATGTTCACACTCAACCAACCAATACAGATATAGAGTAACATCCCCAAAGGAGAAACTACAGAAAAATCCAAGGCACATCTGCTCTGTAAATTGCTAATCCTGTAATAATGGACCCTGATGAGAACAGCCTGGACGAACTTTCAGATAAAAGAATTACTACAACTATGTCCAAACAACTCAAAGAAGATATAAACATACTTCAAGAAACAAAAGTAAAAAAACAAATGAAATGCATATGCCAAGCCAAACATAAAACAGAATTAAGCAAAGAGAACTGATGGAGAACCCAAACTAAAAGGATGTTGGAAATGGAAAACTCAATAAGCCAAACAAGAATCCAAAGGAAGCCTCACTAGCAAAATGGAGCCTGTAGAAAGCTGGAAAGCAGTGGGAACAGAAGGTAGACGAACTGGAGCACTCATACATGTAATCTTCCACACACATGGACTCAGGGACAGAAATCACAATCATGTCAATGGATGCTGAAAAGGGTCTTTGGCAAAATACAGCATCCCTTCCTGATACCTTGAAAAGAATGGAGATGGAGAAAACATAATACCAACATAATAAAAGCTAAGTATGGCAAACCAATAGCCAGGATCATAGGGAGTGGAGAAAAAGCTGAAGCACTCCCACAGAACAAGACAAGGCTGTGGGTGTCTGCTTTTGCCTCTCCTATTCAACAGTGCTTGACATCTTAGCTAGAGCAACAGGACAAGAGAAGAAAATAAGAGGGATACACATAGCAAAGGAAGCTGTCAAAGCATTTCTGTTTGCAGGTGGCATGGTTCTACACATGACAGACACCAAAGACTCCACCAGGAGACTCCCAGAGCTAATGAATATTTTTAGCAATGTGGCAGGTTACAAAATTGACACTCCAGGACTGGAGAGATGGCTTAGTGATTGAGAGCACTGCCTGCCTTCTAAAGGACCAACATGGAGCTCACAACTGTCTGTAATTCCAGTCCCAGAGAATCCGATGCCCTCTTCTGGCTTCCAAGAAGAGCAGGCACCCATATGATACACAGGCATACAAAGCAGAGAGAGGAGAAAGAGGGGGAAGACTCTTGAACTCATTGGAACAGGGAAGCACTTTCTGAGCAGGACTCCAATAGTGCAAGGCATTAAGATCAACAATTAATAAATGAAACCCTGTGAAACTAAAAACTCCTGTATAGCAGAGAGCACTACCAGCCAAGTAAAGAGGCAGCCTACATAGTGGGCAAAATATACAAAGAACAGAACAAAAGACCCAATACCAAGAAAGCAAATGACTCAATGAAAAACAGCATGAAACCAGCAACCACAGAAAGCTGAAGCAGACAATTAAGCTAAGGGGCCAAGCAACTGAGACTGAAAAGACTATGGTGACTTTGAAGTTGGACTAAATGCATTTTGCGTTGTGATATGGCTATGTCTATGAGGGCCAGAGAGTATAATGTGGTTATCTAAATGAGAATTATCTCCATAAATTCATATTTGAATATTTAGTCACCAGCGAGTAGCACTATTTGAGAAAGATTATTAGGTGTGGCATTGTTGAAAGAAGTATTTCACTAGGGGTGGGCTTTGGTGTTTCAAAAGCCCATGCCTGGCCCAGTCTCTCCTCTCTCTTTCCTGCCCCGCCCCCTCTTACAGATCTAGATGTAGTTCTCAGCTAATACTCCATCACCATGGTGATGCCCCCTGCCATGATGAGAATGGACTACACCTCTGAAACAGTAAGCAAGTCTCTAACTAAATGTTTTCCTTTATGAGGGTTGCCCTAGTCATGGTGTCACAGCAACAGAACAGCAACTAAGACAGAATGAACACAGAGGTTCAAAGAAATGCAAATGGCTGAGAAAAATCTATTTTTCATATTAAGTATTTTTAGTTATCAGGGAAATGAACATCACAACTATTGTGAGATTTCATCTTTCTCAAGTCAGAAAGGCTAAGATTTTTGGGGGTTTTTGTTTGTTTGTTTGCTTTTTAAAAGGCAGAAAAGAAAAACAATAAATGCTGATATGAATGTGGGGAAAGAAACTGTTATTCACTGCTGGTAGAAAGGCAGACTTGTACAGCCACAATGGAAATCAAGGTGGATATTCTTCAAAATGCTAGAAATGATCCTGAGCATAGTCCCAGAAGATACATGCTCATCCATGTCCATTTCTGCTCTTTGCACAATAGCTAGAACATAGAAAAGGCCTGGATGCCCATCATCTAGGGAGCAGATAATAAAAGCGTGGTTCCTAGATACAGTGAAATTTTATTCAGCCATAAAGAAAAATAAAAAATTTGGGGAAATGGCCGGGCGATGGTGGCACACGCCTTTAATCCCAGCACTCGGGAGGCAGAGGCAGGCGGATCTCTGTGAGTTCGAGACCAGCCTGGTCTACAAGAGCTAGTTCCAGGACAGGCTCCAAAGCCACAGAGAAACCCTGTCTCGAAAAACCAAAAAAAAAAAAAAAAAAAAATTGGGGAAATGGAATTAGACATAACCATTCTGAATGAGGTAACCCAGACCCAGAATGAGAGAAACCAATGCTGCATGCTCTCCCTTACACATGGAGATACGTGTGTTTACACTGGGAGCACCCACAGAAGGCAGGACACTAGTCAAGAGCTATGGGTGTGTAAGTAAGACCTATTGCTGAAGACACCACCTATCTGTTTCCTATTTCAGGGAGAAATCAAGCTGTTAGCAACTCACACGGATACTTCTTACCTACCGGCTGGAAAAGTCTATGCATGCTACCAGGAATAGGCAGCGGTCTTACCCAGCTGTGAATCCTGAGAGCTCCAATCGTGGCTGGTCTGGTGTGAAGTGTGCACTGCTGCAACAGTATGGCAATAATGAAGCACTTTCTGTTTGGACTGAAATCCTACACCACAAGACCAAACTCAGCCCTGCTCTTGTTAACTGGCCCCCAATCTATGGCTAGCTAGGGAACGGGCCCTAGAGGAAAACTGATTACTATTAATATGCTAAATGGACATAGCGACACAATCCTCTCTACATTCTTGTCTGCGTACCATAGGCCAATGTGTCTCCTAGTGCTCATCAGAGAAGCCTCTTTCTGCAGTAGATGGTGATTACTACAGTGACATATGGAGAATACGAGACTGAGTTCTAAGCTCTAACTGGGACATATATACCACATTCTTTCCTTTCAAGGCTCAGGGACCATGCAGAAGAGAAAGACAAGACTGTAAGAGCCATAAGTAGTGGACATTTGCATGCAGCAAAACATTTTTTTTTTCTGGAGACAACAGGACTGCAGCACATGAACTCAAAACAGCAGTGACTACATGCACAAGACTTGCACATGATCAAGCCAGGCAAAATCCCAGCAGGAATGGGAGAAGGAGCTGTTCTACTTAGTGTTCTATTGCTGTGATGAACACCATGACCAAAAGTAAGTCAGGGAGGAAACGTGTCCGCATTGCAGTCCGTCACTGATGGAAGCCAGGACAGGAACAGGGCAGGAACCTGGAGGCAGGAGCTGATGCAGAGACCATGGAGGGGTGCTCCTTACTGACTTACTCCCTTTGGATTTCTCAGTCTGCTATCTTATACATCTCAACACCACCAGTGCAGGGGTGAACCACTCACAATGGGCTGGGCCCTCCCCCACCAATCACTAATTAAGAAAAATTCCTATAAGTTTGACCACAGCCTGATCTTAAGGAGGCATTTTCTTAATTGAGGTTTCCTCTTCTCAGATGACTCTAGCTTTATGTCAAGTTGACATAAAACTCTCCAGCACCGGGGCTGCTTACAAGTTTCCCCTCGTAGGTGAGGAGCTATTGGCAATTAATGGCTACAAGGGGAGGGAGAGTCAGTTTTCTTTAAGGATACAGTCCTTGAAAGGCCAGTCATACTCCAGTAGATGACCCTACACCAATTCTCATACAAGTATCACTAAGAGACTTGGTATGTCTATTAAAAAAAAAAAAAACGCACACAAATTTTGGAGGAAAAAGTGATGAGAGAGAAACAGGGAGAGGAGGGGAGGGATAGGGAGATGGATTTAATCAAAACCTATAATGTGTATATATAATATCTTAAACAATAAAAAATTTAATAACATAATAAAAAAATTTTGTGTAATAAAATTGCAGTATGTTTTTTTTCTTTTTTAGTAATTATCAAATATGAAAATTCATGTGAAACAAACTTGACCCTCTTTTATTTTGAATCAAGTTATTCTAAGTATAAAACAAAAAAAATGGATGACAAAATCCACAGAAATAAAAATTCAGGGTAGACGAAGAAGCATGAAGTTGGCATTATTCTTACTGTTTTTAAAATTATTATTTAAATTTAACATTTTGACATTCAAAAGATTTAGGTTGGATTGCCAGTATCTGAAGTCCATGTCACAGTACTATACTTTCAGTATGAATTTGTATTTAGGTTTTCATGAAATTAGAGTTAACGCAAATGATGTAGGAGGGTCTTCTTTCTATGTGTTGCTTTCATTGGTTAAATAGAGACTGCCTTGGCCTTTTGATAGCACAGCAGCTTAGACAGAACAGAATGCTAGGAGAAAGGAGGCAGAGACAGAGAGCCACCTGCCATGAAGCTGCCAGGTCAGACATGCTGAATCTTTCCCGGTAAGCCACGAGCTCATGGTGACATATAGATTATTAGAAATGGGCTAAATTGAGATGTGAGAGTTAACCAATAAGAGGCTAGAACTAATGGGCCATGCAGTGTTTAAATGAATACAATTTGTTTGTTGTTATTTCGGGGTATAAGCTAGCCAGACGGCCGCCACTCCTCATTGCTACACTCAGATACTGGTTGGAGGGATTTGAGAACCTGAACTCTTACTCTGTTAGCTCTTTCTGTAACTTTACAGTCCTCCTCTTTTCTCGGAGCAAAGCACAGAGCAGAAAATGTACTGAGTCCATCAGTTTCCTCCTTGCTTTTTCCTTGTCTTCAGACTTTGAAAAGAAATTAGTACAAAGTTATTTTTTTAAACAAAAAGACTTGCATATCTTCAGGGCTCCTGTGACCCCACTACTGTAAGGGCAGAGTTGAAAGCCAGTCTGTGCCCATCTGTTTGCAGCACTAACATGAGCACTGACAGCATCGTCTACTGGAAATGAGAGCTTGGGGTAAGTTTCTTTTTATCTTTTATTCTTCTCTCACACCTTACATCCCAACTGCAGTTTCTCTTCCCTCCACTCTTCCCAGCCCCTCCCCCACCTCCCCTCTCCCCCCCAGACCAACTCCTTCTCTAAATTTTCCTAATTATAAATTTTCTCTTTTCCTTATGCACATCATTGTAACCTTGTCTTACTAAGTAGAAGTCAATCAAATATCTCAGTAGTTCACCCCAATTAGGCACCAAGAAAAGCCACGAAGTTAAAGCCCAAAGGAAGAATGATTAAACAACTCACCCAGCCCCTAGGATTTTCCATGAACTCACAGCTAGCTTCTGGGCTTTGGGAGAGGTGGGGCACACTTCCTTGTAGCTCCATGCTGCTGCTTGTGAGATATACCCCTTGAGGGCACTTGGGGCAAGACCCTACAAAAGCCACGGTGGCAGAGGTGTTCCACGGTATCTTCTCAAGATTTGCATTCTGCCCCTCTGGATACTTGCAAGTCCTGCACAGTAAAAAAAAAAAAAATGTAAACAGTGAGGATGTCCCATGGTCCGCCAAATGACTGCAGGGTTCTCAACACAGCTTGCTTCTTAGAGAATAATGACATGGAGCAAAATGGTACACTAACATTGAAGCTGTGACAGGACACCAGCTGCACACATCGCTGTCTCGGGACTGTTCTCAAGAAACACAGCTAGACATACAAGCATATTCCCGTAATCTAAGCACTTAGGAGGTGGACACAGGAGAATTGTGAGTTTAAGGCAAGATTAGGCTATGTGCTGAGTTCCAGGACAGCCTCATCTACAGAACGAGACCTTGTCTCAAAAGACAACAAGCAAACAAAAAATGGTTTGTCTATTTTTAGGATATTTTGAATGAACTAGTGAATCAAACAGCATAGCATGGAGGAAAATCACCATCAATGATAGGTGGCTTAACAGTTAAACCATGGCCCATGGAAGGAATCTACTCTGATTCGTTTTTTTTTTTTTTATGCACCTCTGAAGACTTACATTTCTAAAGAGTAACTCTGCAAGATAATAGCATACTTGATAATTATAATAATTCCATCCCATATGAACATACTCAAATATCATACTGTACTACTAAAATATGTACAATTTATAAAAGTTAAGAATATTTGAGTTGGGTGTGGTGGCACAATGCCTTAATCCCAGCATTTGGGAAATAGAGGCAGGAGAATCTCCATGAGATCTAACCCAGCATAGTCTACCAAGACAATTCCAGGACAGCCAGGGCTGTTACAAAGAGAAATTCTGACAAGAAAGAAAGGAAAGAAAGAAAGAAAGAAAGAAAGAAAGAAAGAAAGAAAGAAAGAAAGAAAGAAAGAAAGAAAGAAAGAAAGAAAGAGAGAAAGAAAGAGAGGAAGAAAGAGAGAAAGAGGGAGGAAGGAAGAAAGGAGGGAAGGAAGGAAAGA